TCCTTTGGTCAGTGAAAGACTATAGGTATACAGTCCATATGATAATATATTAAAACCTCGAAGAAAGAAGTCAGTTGGAAGATGGAGACGTGGATGGGAGGATAATACCAAAATCATCTTAATGAAGTATAATGTAGACTGGATTCATGTTCTGAGCAAGGTCCAATGGCGAACTGTTGTTAACACTTATGAAACATTAAGATTTGGTAAAAGACAAGTAATATTCTGACCTATTATTTTCGGACGAACGACTTCGCTCCATGAAGTTTTAAATTATTCAAATATCTACTCTGATAAAAATATTTCAGGTCAAATGTTACTGAAATTATTTGCTTAGAACCTTTTGGGAAGTTCAGAATGGAGAATAAATTTTATGGAGTGCATTGGAAATGAAATGTAAGGCACACAGTTCTGATGCTGTGTGGACATGCAAGGATAAACCAAAGTTTAGGAGAAATAAGACTGATTTTAATGCTCTTATTACATTACGTAGTTTTGGTTTCCAAAGTGGACTTGTCCAATAACGATTTCAACTAGAAGTTTGACACTGCGGACCAGTCATCTTTGAGATTCTGATAGTAGCTCAGATGGTCTCCGCATTTAGGGAACCCGCCATTGGATCGTATTCTAAGCTAGTCGAATCCAATCCACACTTCCACACCACGATTTCTTTAAACCCATTTAATATTCTCCTATTTATGGGAACATTTAAAATCCACTATGCACACTGCATTGTGCATCTCCCTGATTCGTCGATTTTGTTTTCTACCATGAAATGACGTACTGGCAAAACGAAGCCAAATCAATATTCGCGTCAGTGCTACCTAGTTTCGGTAAAATACAAACATTACGGAAACTTGTTATTTATTGCTTCAGCTTGGCGTCTTGATAAGGACATAGGTTCTCATGAGTAACGGCTTCTGTTTGAAGGGCTGGCGGTTTCCTTTGTGTCGCTGGCATGGCGCCTGCCTTATCATTACCTCACACCTCTTCTCTTGTACAATCACATAAATAGAATTTGCGGTCTTCCTGGATGTAAGTAGCTGCCTGCCTTGTGTCCATAATCTCTGTTCAGTCAAGGCGCTAGTCTATTCGACAGCCCCGATACATTCAAAATTAAACGACAGACCTGCACACTGGTCCTAAACTGAGCAACTCTGGTGGACAACTTCATGAAGTGCCGTGTTCACAAAACGCCGTCACTGAATCTGGTCCATCTGCATCCAGTCCACATCCTCATATCTTTAAGACCAATTTCAATATTATCCACCCATTTAAGCTTACCCCAAGGTTTACCAATTGGTCTATTTCCTTTAGGCCTTCCAATCATAATTTTGTTTAAGCATTTCTCATCTCTCCCGTGCGGGATCGTTAAACAATTCAGGCTTCTCTTATTTGAATTGAAACGACATAGCTAATCCCTATCTAGATAGGGATTAGCTCTATCTATTGGGCCCAACAGAGTAGGTACCTGGAGACGGAGATAGAGCCCCATCCCCGAAACGTCGTTTTCTATTTTATTATTTTACTAGACGATGGAAAATATCCAAGGAAATTTTTATTCAAATAACTCACCATCGTCATGAGCCGGGATTGCTCAGTCAGTACAGTCCGGGGGTAAAGCCGGCCGGGGCGTGATGCTGACCACTCACCCCCATCTAGTGCCGAGGTCAAGAATGAGTAGGAGCTATACTTCTACTCCCCCCCAAGCGCCTACATGGCGTATAGTGGGACAGCTTTACTTTTTAACTCACTATCGTCACGAACTTTTAGATGTGATAACAATTATTGAATTAACAGAATGAACATTTTCTCACTTTCCTACGAAGCGCCTCTTTGGTATGCACACGAACTAGTTCCTACAATCTCCGAACTCTTATGACCAATAACAAATGAAAACCGGTGGAGTATCTGTCTGATGAACTTGCGAGACCTGAAGGCCATAACATTGCAGTCCACGGTAATGTGTCTGAAGCAGATGGAAGATTTAATGTGAGACACAAGGAATATGCGGGCCACCTAAACCCACTTTGTTAATCACTTTGCATTTTATCTCACGATCCCATATAAAGGCCATTAGTAAGACTTTTATTTTGTCGTAGTTATGGAGTTATAGGCAATTTCGCAGTCCATTATGGAGGACAGACTATCGTCTCAGTCATATAATATCACATTTAATGTTCCCTCTTGGGGTCGATTTCTATCTATAGAACACAGGTAGAAATGTCTGTACATTATGAAAAACTTAAGGAAAAGAGAAGAACTATATGAACGGAAGGTTATGTAACACTTTCATAAATGATGAACATAACAGCATAGTTATTTAAGAATTAATGCTTCCGAAACTATAGCAAAACTTTTAATTGTATCGTAAATGGTGCAACCCGTTTAAAGATGTTTACGTAGATTAATTTTTAACAGCGTCACTAATGCTAGTTTGCTTGTTCGAGGTAGAAACTTCTTGAAAGATCTCTATCCTTCTGCCATAAAGAAGAATTATTGTGAAAGGAATCATTTGGTTTTCTTTTCGCTGTGCATAAACTGTAACGAGCTGGCTTTGAGAAGCATTGCAGCTAAAATCTTGTACAATCTATTGTTTATTGTGTTCGTTTAACGGTCAGGTTTTGTGGCGCTGTAAGACGATACTGTAACGAAGTAATGTGATCAAAACTCCAGTAAAGAGTTACTGCCTATTGATGTAACGTCGTACCATGTCTGGGACTCTGGAAATACTTTATTACTGGGTAAAATAAATAGCCAGTCACTACCTACTGAACATCGTGAAACGTCAAAGGAATTAAAGTCTATACCGAAATTATTTACATAATTATAGGGAGGTGCTTTAATCTCAGAATTAAATGTGGAATTTATCTAAGTAATATTTAAAAGTTCGATTTCTACCTCAGAGAAAACACACCACAGTTGCATCACATTAAGTAGACAGATTTTTAAGGAGTCACTAGCCGTCTATTCTGTAATTAAAATGAAAAAAAAATTCAGAGTAAAAAACCAAGTTTCATGACTACAAAGCAATGAATAAAATTACTGATTTTATCCTAATGTTTACAGTTCTGGAAACTACATGAAGAAATAACAAATTTCCAGTTAAATACAAACAAACGCTACTTAATTTACCAGAACATAATTTTCACTTTCCTTCAAACAGTTCTACGAGGTGCGATCGGAAAGTTTCAAGACTGTGTCAATACGTATAACTTAAGAAGCAATCAACATATCGAATCAGTTGGCACCTAATTAGACAGTAGTTCTTAGCCTGCTCTTTTATCCGTGGCGCTGGGATAAACCTCTAGCAAACGTCTAATTGTCACAGTGTACAAGCGGGTGAGAATTTAACTCAATCGCCAACAAAACGGACGGTGGGAAAAGTGAAGTGAAATGCAGAGAGTTCTGAACTAATATGTAGAAAGTACGCTACATGTAATTCGCCTATTCCCCCCGCCCCTTTTTGCAATATTCAGGCATAAAGGGGTACGCTGATTGTAATGAAGCCCAATTTCCTCTTTCTATGGAACCAACAGAACTCCGACGAATACTTGGGAGTTACAAATTGCGAATTCTGTTTAAGCTCACCGCTTATTATCACTGAGGTTTTATTCAGTCTCTCAGGACGAAAGTCGTGATGGCACCTTCAAATATTACATTATGGCCTCCATCCAAGTAATTACCTTCCTCTAATTCATTCGACGCTAAACATTGCAGTTGAAGCAGGATTTATAAACCTAAGACTATAAAAGTAAGTACGCTATAGCTCCTACTCATTCTTAACCTCACTGTTGAAAAATAACAGGAATAATTTCGTTCGTGAGCTCTGACACTAAGAAATTTTAGACTCCAAAGGGCAATGCTGTTAAAAGGGTATCTCATGCATGGTTCTGAAGGGAATATTATTTGGATATAGCTATTATAACTCAGTAAAATCTGAAGGTTATAACTAAAGATCCGCATCACAAGTCAACCGTTGCCATGCGACAGAAGTTATATGCAGATATTTTTCATAAATCTTTTTGTAGCAGTGTTTCAGACCGATTCAATGAGTCACAGCCAAATAAACGTCGCTAGTGACTTAACTGTTTTGATATTCCAGTCGACGCTTTCATATAGCACGCGAAGCTGACAGCGTCGCGAGTGTCAAGTGCCCAAATATGGGACAGATGACAGACTCGATGTGGCATCTGCTTGATGACAGAGGATGGCAAGACCACGTCGCTGTCTTACGGGTAACAGCAAGGATTTCAACTGATTTCATATGAAGTGTAGTGTTATATGCGTTTTGAAAAAGAAGAAATCGAGGCACAAGTCCTGGTTTCATCATTAGATATATTTCCTTGCGACAAAAGAATAAAGATGATTGTCTTGTCGGATGTAGCACGCTTATTGTGGAGGCAGTTAGCTCCTCTGAAACATCGGTCAATAACTACAAAATTACACGTTGCTAACTACCATGTTTGTAGTTTAATTATGGTCGTCAGATGTATCTGCGACAAAACAACGGGAGCGAATCCGATCAAAGTCAATGTGGCAGAATGGGGCTAAATTTTGTCGCGGCGCCTTCATATTGTTTTTGTTAAATTTGAAATCTTTCTGTACTTTAAAGTCTACTTTTACTCATAAATGTTGGAGTCTCTTTCGTGTATCATCATTAAACCTAATGCGACCTGCATATGAGAATTCAATGAGCATATCAATGTGTAAATTCCATTCGCCATATATATTCTCCTGACACGTAAACATCTTGAAATTAGGTTATAAGAATGCACAGTCAGTAATGCACATGGAATATACAGCATAAAAATAACTTCTTTTGAGGAACTCAGTAGTAGAACAGCACCTATTCAGTAAGCGCTTTCTGTACTCTTGTTTTAGCTATGTCATGTGACTTATACCCATTAAGAAAAGAGTGACGGGAATAAACTAAGAAGGGGAGAAACCTGATGAAGCCATCCATCAAAGCAAGTAATTAATTAAGTTGTCCACTCACCTTGCAGAGAGCTGCTAAATTGTGGTACCACAAATCGGAAAGATCCACAAGTCGCTCTACAGCTGGCATCAAGAGCGATTCTGCGATCTGAAAACCATATTTGATTATCTTAATAAACAATTTCCGTACGGGGAACAAACTTGGGCCGTCAAACGTTGCTTAGACACACACATTCTGAAAAGAAGGACCAATCTATAGTTCTGCCATTAGTAAAAAAAAATTCTCAGTAAAACATAAGACCTTACTCGTACTTTGCTAAGCGTAATCCTTTCAAAACTATAAAATGTAGCATGTGCTTTCATTATTTATTTCGAATAAAATAAAATTTTGTATGATACAAACTTTCGATACTTATAAAACACGTTAATAATCTCCTACAGTCTTATGGCCTGTGGTCATTTCGATGCGATGGATTGTACCGGAGAGAAGAAGATTAATCGATAGGCAAACCGAGTTCGAGTCGGAGCATCAATCACGGAGCGCTAGACACCAGCAGGGGATAACTGACAGAGCGGACAGGTCCAGCAAAGAGTAACGACAGTTTTGCATAAACTAGCGTCTCCGCCCCTTGTACCATAGTCGAGAAGCACTTGGACGGAATCAGAACTGGTCTACTCGACTGTAGTACTGCATCCTTCTTCAGTCTTCTGGACATGGCTTTCTTCAAACTCCGGTTATTTAACATATATAGTCCCCCCTTCCGCGTTACGAACGAGGTATATCACTCAGGAACAACGAATACCAGCTCTAAATAACATCCGGTATTTAATAATGCAGTTAAAATATGCTTCTCTTCGCATGTCTGACAATTTAACCTTTTTTTATAACTGGAAATTATGTAACCTACAAGTTGCTAAATATACATATAAACTAAATAGGTGTTTTGGTATATTCAGTAATGTTAATATTAATGTATGTCTGGAAATTAAAAGTAGTCATACTTTCACAGAAATGAGATCTTATAAAATTAGGAAATAATAAGGCATTAAATCCATTTTGTGGTCCAACTACACGGTATAGACTTTTATATCACACAGTTGATCTAAGTTTACAGAAGGGTGTACTCTGTACCTCATTTTTTTTTTGGGGGGGGGGAGACGGGATCTCACGGCTCCCTCAACATTGTGCTTTGCCGCCAAATTTTACATCTTTTAATCTAAAAGTGCTTCGGTTACGAAACATTCGGGGAAAGAGACATACTGTCAGCCTCAAATGTATGAGTTCAAATCTTGCACTATGTGCGAGGAACAACTGATATGCAGCTTGCTTGACAACTTACCTACGTGCTCAGAAAGAGACATTGTCAATTGAATAAAAATTTCCTTGGATATTATCCATCGTCTAGTAAATATAAAACGTAAAAAACGACGTTTCGGAGATGGGACTCTATCTCCGTCTTCAGGTTCCTACACAGTTGGGCCCACTAGATAGAGCTAATCCCTATCTCCGGGCGTCGTTTTTACGTTTTATATTTACTAGACGATGGATAATATCCAAGGAAATTTTTATTCAATTGACTCTTCACCATCGTCAAGAAGTTTTAGATTTGAAGAGACATTGTCGTTAGACGCTCTGATGGTCGAACAGAAAATTTAGAAACATTATAATTAAAAAGTAAAAATGTTCAGGAGATTCCTTCAAGAAATGCTAGTAATTAAGCCTGCGGTTCAGAACAGGGAGAAGAGACGAGCTTTTGTGAACATGGTGAAAAGCTTTCAAGATTAATAAAAGTAGGAAACTTCTAACCAACCGAAAAACTGGCAATAGCCAATCATATCTAACTAGTTAAATTAAGATACATCCTATATATCTGTATCATATGAAGGTTTTAATTTTCATAGGCTATTATAAATAAATGATGGTACTATACGGCTACACTCAGACAATCCTCGATAAATTCTATGCTACTTTAACGGTCTGCGAACCAAAAAATGCGGAGAATTACTGACTGTCGAAATAGAAGGAACATGGAAGGAATTGGTCATGTCACGTTAAAGGGCAGTCTCATAACTTACTTGGAGGGACTGACGGAAGTCGTAAATAATCCAATTCGGGGTTCCCCTACAGACCGTGAAGCAAACCTAGGATGTTACGAATGCAACTCAAAGTGCTGACCAATCAAAGATAGATAACGTGTGAGCAAACGTAATGAGTGTTTGTACTGAACTTCTAAGTTCTGTCTTGGATATCTGTAAATCATATGTTCTGTAACGTGCCTAAAATATACGACTAAAAACAAACATCACAAAAGAAGCTAATTTAAATTGGAGGAGCTGGAGTGGGACGGGTGCTACTTTTCGACAGACAGGAATGCAGTGATCTCTTTTTTTGTGAGAGGTTGGCTGAGAGAGTTAAAAAACGTTCCTGTAATTCTTTCGATGAACACATTATGGACAAGTAAGTCAGACATATGGTTTCCCGTCACAACTCTGGAGATGGTAAATTTAGCTCCACACTTTCCACAGTTACAGAATTTTCCTCATTTTCGGAGTGATAGAAATAACTAGACAGGTGAAGCGTGACCTCTGACAGTCGCCAGAGGAAATAAGTGATGGCGCAGAAGGTCTACGCTGCATCTTCATGTACGCCTTTTGAAAAGTCGGTTCATAAATCCATTTCACAAGGTGGCACACATCTCAGTTAAATTTCGTTGTATACATATATACGTTTACAGAATGAAGAGATAAAGTAAAAACTTTTGTATGGGCCAAGTGATTACTACTACGTGTGGTACGTAGCTCTGGACGTTACACTGGATTCACCACTACAAAATGTAACGGAAGGGCCTGATTATTAAGCGTACATGTAGGTGTGTGTCATTACCAGCTTGTGGTACGTTAAGCTATGAATGTATCCTATAACTTTGTAACATAGACCTCCGTATAAAACATATGGTTATCAACTTGTAGCACGCGGGATTTTAAAAGTCTGACACAAACTGTTATACTAAGTAAGCAACTTCATGGAGAAAACTCCTCTCGGAGGAGCTAATAGTATTTTAGCTTGTCAAAAAATTCATTACCTCTCTTCTATGCAATCCAAAGATTCATTATTTTATTGATAACAGCTCGCCATTCAAGCAGTCCTGAGCCGCTTTGATCCACTCCACAAATTCCCGTCATATTTCTTTAAGATTTTTTTAAAATTATTCTGTTATCTACCCTTAGGTTCCCGAAGTGGTCTCTTCACGTCAGTTTTTTCCTACTGATATACTGAATGCATAGGTAACCACACCTAACAAGTTTTATGCACAGGTCTTGTTCAAAATGCTCCCCTAACCTCGGCCACGTCGAAATAACATATTCCCTGGAATAATAAAGGGAAGTAACTAAGAACTTCAAACAGAATACAGTCGGAGAACGGAAACTAACCCACCAGAATGCCAAGAGAGACAATTGCGTGGAACATCAGAGAAAAAGATGTCAAAATCCACTCATCGACTCATATTCTTCAAAAACACATGATTAAGATGGACCTGGCCGGACACCAAATCACACTTTCTGAATGAATCATCTCGTGTACAAACAAGGGTGACGTCAGATCATCATCAAAGCGACGGCAATAAAGAAAAAAAAATGTTGCTTTCTGCGCAAACACACTTCTGACACAAACAGATTTTATTTCCTTTTCATTTTAGTGTCTTATGGCTGCACGTATCTGCTTCAAAGAGAATCAGCCGACGCTGGATGATGGAGACGGATGAGACTTGCCTCAGTATTTATAACTATCTCCAGACGGGAAACCCAACACTCATGTCGTTCTGTGTTTGACTTGCAAAGTGAAACAAAAAGGCCCTCGAAAGAACAGTTCCCATATGAATATACGGCCGACTAGCAGTGTAATTAATTGCATGGACTGAATTGGCACAGCGGTAAAGCACTTGAAATTATTCGGAATGTACCCCGTTTGAATCTCTTGGTTTATATCAAGAAGTACAGTTGATTTAAATTACCTCAAAGTAGACAACCCTTTTTAGACAATCCTGTATCTCGTTAATTACAATAATTATTTTTTGTATCTCACTCCATACTACGTGGAATTTATAATTCAGACACATAGAATTACTGGGTAAGCCACGGTGGTCTAGCGGTTAGAACGCTGGCCTTGTAATCCTGGGCTCTCGGGTTCGATTCCCGGCGGTGCTCGAATTTATAACTTGTGTTAGGCAAGGCCGTGGTCTAGGCAACACGGTGTTTTCCTCCGGGGGCTTCCCCGGTTTCTCCGTGGCATCCCAACAATTACTCCATTCACACACAGAAGAAGGCAATGGCAAACCACTTCTGGATCATCTGCCAAGAACGTATATGAACAGGTCCCAGTCCGAGAAAAGGATGGAAGGATCCTGTTCATATGGACCTGTCGTCAGACAGAACACTAAATAAAATAGAATTACTGACCAACCAAGAGAGCATTTAAACAAGCAAATAACCGTCGAATTAGTCAACTGTAACCTAACTAATAATAAAATAACCCAGTCAAGCAAACAACAAATGATCTTTTGCTATGAATTTCGCTCAGCGGAAGGAGCATGACGCTAGTTTGAATGTTTCAGCTTCGACAAAAAGAAAGGAGCAGGCGTAAAAGCGGCATGTGTTAAAAGAAACCAGAGCAGCACAGAAATAAAACAGTTGCCGAGAGGTGTGACGGACAAATAGAGGAGCAGACAGCTGGGAACAAAGAAGGCGCGGAGAGCGTCGCATGGTTTGTTATCAGCCTACCAGGCAGAGCGCTCAATTAGCAGCTGGGGAAGCCTGATAAACTCCAAGGCGTCTATTCAAAATTTAACATGGAAATGCTGAGGAAAACAACGAACAACTTTAGTCAACAGTGGGTTCAAACTGGATTCAAGTGAAGTGCATCAAACTGTGGGTGTATTTGTGTCGAAATGGAGTCAGAAGACCCAACTACCCGGAAGATTAGCATGGAACTGTTCTTTGTCATTTTGTACCCCACTTCTTTCTTATTCTTCTTGTCTTTGTTTTGAACTTTGTTGTTTCTTTTTCTCTGCGATTCATTCATCTCATCTTTCATTCATTTTTATTTTCGTCCTCTTTCTCTCACTTTACCTGCTTTTTCTCAGTCTTTACTTCGAGAGTAAAGATTTGCGTTTTCCAGACCAGATAATTCTTTCTAATTTTCTTTCGACACTTATAACCTCAATTAATTTTGCCTTTTTAATCTGCCTTCATGTCTATGAATCGAACTTGTTGCAGGGTACAGAAATATAATACTTGTTCCCCAGCACCAGTATTTCTTCCTGAAGACAGGTTTTTGTTTCTTTCACATTTCTCTCGTCAGGTGAGTGAAGGTACAGACTGGTAATGTGGCGCCACCACGGAGAAGTTCCCATGCCTTTCACCTGGCAGAATCAATGCACTTTACTACTCAAAGGAATATGCAACCAGCTAAACCGTCCATCTCCATAGTCCATAGTACAGCCAGAACAGTAGCTGTCAACCTGAATACCATCCATGCCATCTCATATGGTGCTACATACTTCCTGCGATCGAAACGGTGTCGTGAAAAACAAATGAATCAAACTACGCGAGTCCATCTACAATCTCTTCCAAACGTAGTTGATACTTCTCTGTTCATGCGAAGCGAAGGGCTCACCATCAAGAGAGCTCGCCTCTGGATTCCACCCCAAGTAATTTTAATCTGGTTCCCATCTTCACAGCCAAATTTCAACAGATTTATTTTAATATTATTTTCCCTTTTACGTTTCGTTCTCTTCTATTGATATTTTTTAAGTAAAATATACCTATTGTATAAATGCGTCATATATATTCCTCAGAGTTACTTAATGTTAATTCAGGTGGTATACATAGCTACCATTGGTTTTTAAAGTGTTTACCTGGCTACGTAACTCACCAACCAATGAACTCCATGATAGAGTGTATTCATTTAAAGTTCATAGTAATTCATCTAGCTACGAAAAGTCTCGCTTTTTATGGTATACTAAGGGCCATTACAGTGGTAACAAAATCCCATCATTGTGCCCTATTCTGGCCTAGTTTAATCCAGTCTATGCCTTCACATACTATATTGATCTATCTATCCCCACACTTGTATGTATCTCCCCCAAGTTTTGTTGAGGTTTTTGAACCTAAATTTTCTACGATATTCCCATTTCTCACACATGCTCTATGTTCTTAATCTCGTTATTCATTCTAGTGTTAATTTTTCTACTCCTTGTTTGAAAGTCAAGTCGACAGAGTAGTGATAATTTCGTTCTGTCAGGCAACAGAACACTTGGGACAGGTAAAGAAAGCTTGTACAGTTGATTGATTACTGAGGGACACTGAGAATAGAAAATGTACTTTCTTGGTTCTGCAAGTGACGCCATATTTGGTCATTCGACAGAAGAAGCCGGCACAGGTACGAGTATTCAAAACGATAAATTAAATGTATTTAAAACACACAACTATTACCAAACAAAATAAAAAAAATGATCATTTCCAATACTTTTTTTTAGGTTTAGTGTGTTGGTTTTTTAAAAAAAGTTTTAGTTTGCGACAGTTCAGACCATACAGAATAGATCTGTCTCTCCGCACATTGTCTTCGCCACTGAAACGATTTCCACGAATCTTGCACTGCAAATCGTCGCTGCAAGTTGTAGGGACATATTGGTAAATTACAATAAATGCGTTTCCTGTTAGAAAGTGCCAATAATCCCTTCCAGGGAAGTTAATCTAAAGCTAAATAAAATTAAAATTAACTAAACATTTTAAGTTTTAGTTCCTGCCTCAAAGAAAACAATACTTCTTTATTCGAAGAGCTAGTGGTTAATGACTTTAACACACTCTGTGGACAAAATGAAGAGTTAGTGAATGTTAAAGCAGGTAGTACATATAATTACAACTGTGCCTTCGGTTCATATTGAGAAAGTAACTTCGTACATACCTCAGCCATTTTCACCATCTGTCGTCGTGGAATAAGAATACAACTGTAAAAAAAAACAGACTCGAACCCAGTACATTTAATGCAGAAGGCGTTTTTTTTCCAACCAGAACTTTAATTCTTGCCACTGATGTTAGTGATGTTATTTAAAAGCTATGTCGTAAAATCGAAGTATCAGATTACCAAAGAGGCTGTAAGCTCCTGAAGTTGTCTCCCCCCCCCCCCCAAGGGGTCCGCGAACACTGCGCAACGTTTCTTGCCCTGCACATGCAAATTGGGTTAGACTTAGGTAAGGCTAATAGTCTTAATCTTGCAGGTTTTAACACTCCTTGTGTAGTCCCTACAAGCTGGATAATTAGCTACAGACGGCAGGGCTTGTACAACAAAGCTTCCTACAGCCTTGCCAGTAATTTTGCACACGCGGACAGCTTATAGTGTTTCGACGCCGGGGGTGGTCTGCCGGTGATGAGAGGCCCTTCCGCTCCGAGATGGTGGCAGTATCGTCAGGGGCATGACCAACTAATGAAAGTATTCCCGCTGAGCAAAACTGCGTAAGACGCTGGCACGTGTGAACAGATACTAAGGTACAAGGTGGTTTAAGCTTCGCTCACACAGCTGCAGCGTCAGACTTATGTGCACTACGCATTCTACTACATCTTACCTTTAGCCAGAGATTCGCTGTTCGGCTGCTTCAATCTCGGGGAGGCTACCTCCATACTCTTTGGATAAATGTGGGTCCCGAATGTTCGCGCTGGTGCTACGTCTCATGTCCCTTGGTAAATGTGGACGGTTTCACGAGCCCGAGTCCAAGCAGCGTGATCAACGGAAGCCATAGAATAGAGGAGTTCGCCACAGTCTCGATAGGCCTGTGTGTAGACGCCGGCAGCGAACACGCCGATTCTGCAGAGCAAGCAGGCACACTGGACTATATTTACAGGTCTAGTGGATCCAAAAGACTGTTTAAACACAGTAGTAACAAAAATAAACACTCGCTGTCGTCCGACTCCACTTTTATTAGTAACAAACTGTCCGGGAGTCACTTTTAAGGAAATGTAACTCACCTGTGTTCAGACAACTCCACGTGGGCAAATAACAGCGTGAGGCCCATAATAAAAACTCACAGACAGACAGAATTTTTAAGACAAATTTTACATATTGTAGGCCTACACTTATATTTTATATTTGAGCCCTATTTCTGTTTACAAAGAGTTAAAAGTTAAGCTCAAAACAATAAATACGAGACAATAACGAACTGGGTAAATACGAGCTATCATAGTAATACAAGGAATGACTGCAAAATGGATACACGGAAATCCGACAGACGATGGCATGACGGTATCGCATAAATAGGGTTGTTAAGATGGGAAATGGTTGGAAGTGGCACAGGATGGTTTTCAATGGCAGGCTTTGCATTACGAGATTTGCTATCAATAACAGATACACAGTAAAATAATAATCCTGACATGTCTGTAATATTCTCTTTTCATTATGGAGTCAAGAACCAGCCCCACAAGTAAATAAATAAACTATTAAATTGGAGACGTGATAATCCTGAGTGCAGAACAGTGGATGAACGTGTAGATAATCAAATAACCCCGAGAGATCTCATAGCTAATGGAAGCTAAATTACGGTCAATCTAACTCCGTAACATTTCAAGGTGTGAAATGTATTTGCATTGTGTAATATTTTGTGTGCTGTCTTTTAAAAATATCTTCTTCAAACAAAATGTTAATGCATTCCTTTAAATGTAATATCAAACAATAGAAATGTCTCTCTATATAATAGCTGTTTATTGGTAGAGTGATCACTTGCTGATCACTTGTGTTTGAGGGGTTCTGGGCCTTAATAAATAAGCTTTATGACTGTGTGTGTTGTCTTCTTTCTATTTTCCCGTCATTCTTGACGGGTAATCTGAAATCTTTTCATACTTCCAATATAATCTTTAACCTAAATTGCAATTGGAACAAAGGAATCTAAACTCTATAGGCCTATAATTTGTAATGTGGCGTGAAAACCTGGTGTTAGGCGGCCACAGATCTCTGTATATAGTCTAAACCAAATATATTATATTATATTATATTATATATCTGACGTTTTTCGAAGTGTAGTGCTGCCGACAGCCTATGCACGTAATGGAACGTCGCAGTTGAAAGGTTAAAGTGCCTGTACTCGGGAGGTACTGGGTTCACATCTCGGTCCAGAGTTCTGCTATTCTAATTGACTGACTAAATTTTCTGGGTTGTGATATCGAGTGAACTTATAAGTAGATGCCAACGTATCGAAGGATCATTATTATCTCAGTTTTGGGGGTTGAAGAGGATGAGAGCAGTATGTTCTACCGATACTTTGGTATCTACCTACGGGGTCACAACCCAGAAGACCAACATCTTCACCGCGTTGAGCACCTCACATCTCACTCAAACTCTGCTGGTTTTATACGTCATCTTCAACGTCCAAGAATCGTAGTAGTGTTCCAGGGGGTTGAGGGACGGAGCACTTCTGATCTGTATACCCACTGTTTGCCCCTGTGCTCTGAACTAGAGACTCTAATTACAGACCCACAAGCAAGGGAAAATTAAACTTTCATCAGCTATTAGCATATGAGACTCTTCTAATTAAGGTTTAGTATGAGGAGGTGGCAGCAAGATATTGTTTGTACAGGTTTAAGCAAGACCTGCTCCTTGGTGTAAAATGCTACTATTATACCACCTCCTTCGTCCGAAATTTACGGAAGCAATTACAAGAAGAAAGGGGAGATCGGTTATTTTAAGGTTTGCTCTCGGACCCTGAGCTCTATGGCTCATCGTTGGCCAGTGCACCATTTCTAAGACGCAGTGGCGTATTATGCCTATCGTTAAAGATTCGATTCTAACTGCCGTAAAAAAGAAAGTATCATATATGTAACTGGAGTTACACTCAATAAAACATGAATAAATGTAGGACATTAGAAGATTAGTAACAACCGGATAGATGTTTACTAGGAACGCCAATAAATTTGCATAATATCTAAACACAGGAAAAGGACACTTCCTCTTAGTCTCGAGACATGTAAAGACGATTAAATTATAAAAAAACCGGACCAACGAGTTTTATAAAGAAAGTTAACGACACAGAATTTCAGATTATAGCAGTCTAATTAATAGTGAGAATATGTTGAAATAATGAAGGTAAATCATACCCGAGAGATTTTACAATTACGGACCACAAGGAATAAGGATCATTGCATGACAAATAAAAGGCTCAACTGATGAACTGAAATGTTATATGACGAAACAAGTCACTGGTTCTTCAACTTTCAATGATGATAATTTTCTTGTACTACGAGACAACCCAAACTTCATCATACACTTCTCAGTCAACTGACCTGACAATGACCCAAAAGGACACCAGCCGGGTGAGTTCCTGTGGGTCACGGGATGTCGAGTGGTTAGTACATCAGTAAAATACGCAACGATAAGCTTTACAGGTGTTTTGGTGTCACCAGGCAGCGATTAGTCGGTAATAATGTTAATGGTGTTGTTCAGAATTTCGCAACTTCAGTGTTATATCAACCGGCTTATTGTGAAACAGGCGTCTCATGCCGTGCTCTTGTTTACATTCTGTCTGTATGGACGTCATGAACGCGACAGACAGTTCACGCCACTGGGAAGCCAAGCACAGCACGCTGGAAATTCTCCCGATGTTCTTCCAGTAAATGGAGAGATGCGGTTTACGGTAAAGACGTCGTTTCTGTCAAAGTCGATTCCATGTTGCTAAGGAGCTGCAGGGGTAGCATACTGTGCAGGGGATCCCGGGTGGCAGCTTGCTTTGATACCACTGATTTTACTCGCCACGATTACACCCACTATAATTTTACTATTCTTGTTGTTGAAACTTGTAGGATGGGAGATGGGGTTCAACGTTTCAGATCTTGGAACTGCTGGCGAAACAGCTGGTTTCGACATGTAGTCCGTGTGGAGAAGAAAGATAAGAAAAATAATGGCTACGAGCTTGATGGCTGGGCTTCGATTCCAATATTTTTGTCTTTCACGGCATAATGCATAAACTACTCTGGATCGACTCAGCCCGCTGTCCTGTCTGTAATGCCCCTCCCCTTTCCCCCAAATGACAACTCTACAACTAGACAACTCTTAATTAGCCTACTTCCTTACGTAGTTATGTAATTATTTGCTTGCTTTTTTAATTAATTAAATCAGTCATCACGTAATTAATCATTTAGTATGTTCGTTACAGAATTAGAAAATGTTTTAATTTGTTAATTAGTTGAAGCCGAAATAATCAATGAGAGTGAGAAGAAAAAGTTGGAGTAATTAAAGATAATAAACTTAACGGGGGGGGGGAAACACGTACGTCTGTGAAGGCTCCAAGGCAGTGCCCGTTCGTCCTAGTAGGTTAAGGATAAAATAAGGTGTATGTACGCGGAGAAGGCAAAGAGGTGAAAAGTAGGGGAAGGAGAGGGTCTTCTGCACTCGACCAACATTTTGAATCTCCAAAGCCTAATGACTGTTGTGTAAGACTTGAGGTTCTCACAGCGGTGAGTATGAAGATATCCGTCTTCTGGGTTATTGCGCTGTGTAGTCTGGTCGATGTTAACCAACGTTTCAGAGGTCATACTGCCTCCGTCATCAGAGTATGAAGATTTCTGTCTTCTGGGCTGTTACGCTGTGTAGTCTGGTCGATGTTAACCAACGTTTCAGAGGTCATACTGCCTCCGTCATC